AAAAAAAAAAAAAAAAAAAAAAAAAAAAAGACTACCCAAGGTACCACCTATGAAGTCAAGTACGCAAATACACTAAAAAAAAACGTGTTAATATATTTAGGAAATAAATGTAGGAGTTCAAGAAATAAGTATTATAATAATAAGTAATAAAAGTAATGTTGAGACTCTTCAAATACAGTAATATTTCATTATCTAAAGTATGTTTACTCAGTAAACTCAGCTACCAGAAACATCCTTACCAACTAGAAAGTGAGTAACACTACTGTTACTAATAGTAAAATCTTTAAGACCCAAAATAGGAACTAGCACTCCTGCAATTTAAACAGGTACTCACACTGAGCCTATTTACACTTATTATAGAGAACTCTAAAAGTCTTGTTTTTCTGATTTTTAGTGCTCTGCAAATTACAAACAAAATATAAAACAAATTGGAGAAAGTTATAAAGGCAATGAGAAGTGATAACTAATATCCTGAGAGAAAGAAAAAGAAGAAAATTGTATGTGAGAAACAAAAATTCAAAAGCCATCATTGTCTGAAACAATATACCTATTAGTTCCTGAAGTAGGCATAACAGCACAGTTTGTTCTATGTAATTATTATATTCTATTGGCTAAGATATGTGCAGTATGTTTTAGATGGCATTCAAAAAATATTACATTTCATATTTTGGAAGGAGTGACTTCAGTTTTGAGAAAGATTTGCATATGAAAAAAAGATGTAATTTTCACTAAAAACTACTAGATAAATGAAAGATGACAATGTTAAAATCATTACAGATTGTAGCCACCTCTGCTGGCCTGTATGTGCATGAGCATGTGTGTAATGGCTCTTTCTCCGTGTCCTTGGAACAATGTTCTGCTAGATATTCTACTTGTTTCTTTACCTTTCTCTTTCTTTCTTTCTAGCCGGAGACCACCCCCATCACCAACTCGTCCCACTATAATCCGCCCACTAGAATCCTCCCTGTTAGACTAAATGAAGTGTCTGGCATGGCAATTAATCACTAATGAATTATGTGAAAGCAACATATTTGATAACCGTTGCAGTAAATCATGAGTAGTCGCATGTGTGGACATCAGTAGGCAAGTAACCAATTTTACTAATGCATTCATCACTCATCTTCATTGCTTATGGTAGTCAAACCTCTGGGGTTTGCCTCTTGAAAACTCCTGACCTTTAGAGGCTTTATATGTTGTACTGACCAAGGTAGGTTTGTATAGCAGCCCTATATTCTGGGGATTATTTGCCTACCATGGCATATATTTGAAATTGCTTTGGATAAGTTTTCTAGCTATCTACCAGGTAGCTCATTAAATATAATTCTTCAGATATGAGATAGTGGGCTTAGACCTAAGCCATACATATTCCTTTTCCCACATTCTGTTTAGGATGACAGTAATTCTGTTGTCTATCATTAATGCTACCACCTAGTCCATAATTACCTATTTAGCTCCTCTTTTCTTCCTCTTTATTTTATAAGACTGCTAGGAAGTGATTTTTTTAAAATTAGGATTCCTTAAGAATAAACTTTTCCAGAAGCACGAGGTAGTTTGCAAAGGAAAAGTCTGCACTGTTTGCTCTAAAGAGCTTCTCCTCATTCCAGTGTGTTTTGCTTCATGCTAGAAGCATATGCAACAGTGAATCAAAGCTTCTTTTTTTTTTTTTGTTAGTCAATAAATTTGGCTAATTAGTTTCAGAGTTCAAGGAAGAAGCAAAATATCACATCTCTAGTAGTGTTGGGAGAAATATAATTTCTTTATTTATATTCACCTCGTGGTAGGTTATATTGAAGGCTGACGTGGAGAATGTTTACTTTTCTAATTGCTCTAATTTTTGGCATAGCTCACTACCCTTTGATACTAACTCCAGTTTTACCATTATTATTTTGGTTAGAGAAAAAAAAATTCACTCTTTACATGCTAATTTGTTACCCTGTTATATAAGAATTTATCCTACCTTTGAAACAGGTTCAGTGTAACTTTCTATCCATTCTAGGCTTTCTTAATAAATCTTGAGGCTATGGGATAATCACATTTAAAGGTGGTTCCTGAAATGAAGTAGAAGATGACATGGGGTAAGAGCAGAGCTCACACTTTTACAGTTGTACTATTTCAAAGTCCCTATCCAGGTCACTCCAGAGAAGGGTATTGAAACATTGAGATCTAAAGCAAATTTGCAATTTCTTAAGATTTCTAAAATTTACCAGAACAGTTTAGCCTGGGGGTTAATAGTTCAGTCTTGAGGCTAAGTTTTGGTCTACCTAGGACCAGATGATTCACATGTAGGAAACAGCCAGAAGCCAACTGGAATTTTGTGTGCTAGCTGTCCCAGACAGCAGAACAAGTATTCACTGAGTGGGGGTGTCCCATGACACTATGTCATATTCTACAAAAGTAAATCAGGTTTCACCAACTGAAATGTCTCCCTTTGAAAGTAGCAAACATGATTTGTATGTTAACTTAACTTTAATTTCCTGTGTAGTTTATACCCAGAGCAGATACCCATAAAGTATAAAGTAAAAACTTTTAACCATTATTAAAAAGAGAAGTTACCATGTTGAATGGTGTTGTATTGAACTTATTCTAAAGCTTACAGCTAGCCCACTGATAATTGGTAAAAATCAGAAAATACAAGATTTACATAAAGGGCATTTCAACTTTTTTTTTTTTTTTTTT